ATATATATATATATATATATATATATATATATATATATGGATATAGATATAGATATTTTGTTGTTTCTAAAATATTTAAAAATTATTAGTTTTACTTCATTTTATGCACTAACAGATCATGAAATAGTTTTGGAGTGTTATTAAATAATTTTTAAAATATTTCCTGGTTCATTTAAAGCTTAGCTTGAGCCCTAGGGAAGTTTAGTACTATTCCATTCATGTTTATCCAAGCGTGTCTCAGTGACACAATATGAATGTAAGATTTTGACTGAGGAGATCTTGCAATTAGAAACTTGAATTTTGTTTTCCTTTAATTGCTGAACATCATTGGTGCTCCTCACATGAATACAAAATAAGTGAAATGTATGTTTATGTTGAAAGAATGTACATTACAGCACCTGGGAAGATATATAACCTAAGTTCACTAGGTCTTTTCCTTTTTAAATGTCTGATGGGCATTTTTACACAGTAAAAAAATGGCATAGTTGGCGTAGTTTTATGGGATTGTTTTAATTAATTTTTCAATTGTTATATCTAATAGCTTTAGAATTAGTTCTCAAAACTTTAAACTTATTGTAACTTAATAATTACATAAAAAGTAAGATCAGTGATTTGACTTGATTTCAATTTATGTTCAACTTTATATTTCAGAGATTGAAATTGGTTTAAACATTTACCTCTATCTATGTATATGTTTAATTCAACAAGTTCACTTACCTGTCAATTTACAATCAACAATTTAATCTATCTGATTATATTGATCATTTCAAAGATTTCACAAGGCAAATCCACATACACACATACCAATATACTGAGCAAAATATTCCCATGCATTTAGACAACAATTGCATAAGCCACATTTGTAAATTTAATAACAATTAAGTTAAACCTTTGAATGAATTTTAAACAAACTATCTACACCCAATGAAATGATTCTATTATTGTTCTTAGATTATAAACATGAGGTACATAAAATTTTCAATAATAGAATCATTTTGTTCAGCCCATACAAATGCATTTCTTTTTTGTTCGGTCCTGGCAATTAAAGTCAGGAGCACTCATCTACTGAGCCACATCTCTGGCCTTATTTTGTATTTTATTTAAAGATAGGGTCTCACTGAGTTGCTTAGTATCTCACTGTTTCTGAGACTGGTTTTGAACTCAGTTCTCCTGCCTCAGCCTCCTGAGATGCTGGGATTACAGGAGTGTGCCAGGGAGCTGGCACAAATGCATTTCTTAATGACTACCTCATGCTTGCTATGGCAAATTTGATTCTGCCATGGAGTTAATGGCCCAGGACTCCATCTCTGGGATCTCTGTAGATTTAAGGAAGATTCAACAAAATTTGATTTTACTGACAATTTTAATTGCTGAAATCTATAGTGATGCCTTTCCTTTAGCCTAGGTAATCCCAAACCTCTCATAAACTTATACATAGCATGCTCTTATAATCTCTTGTGTGTGTGTGTGTGTGAGAGAGAGAGAGAGAGAGAGAGAGAGAGAGAGAGAGATTGAGATTGAAGAGTAAAGGAGTGTCAAATAAAATCCATTTTCTTACACCAATATTTACCCAGTTTCTAAATTATACATGCAAAATTATAATAACATCATGAGAATTTAACCAAGTAAAACTTTAAATCTTGAGGATGCAATTTACCCATTGTGGAATTAACAGATGAAGAAACACAGTTCCATAGTTTTCACAGCTTCAGTGTTAATCTTTACATTGTTTTTAACCTTTTCATTACTTGATTTTAGCCATTTACATTTTTGTTAACACAACTAGACATTGAACTGGTCACTTTACTTTCCATTAAGTGTAACAAAATTTAAGTACTAATTAAAATAAGATAAGCATACAATTCTGATATGCCCATAATCAGCAATTTCTGTAAACACCTGAAATTCATTTGTATATGACAAAACTTTAAAACATTTTTCAGCATCATTATGGATTCATAGCTTTTCAAAGAATTATTATTTTCTCACTCAATTTTTAGAGGATCACTTTTTGTGCAGGGAAAGTACTTTAAGCTGCTTCTTTGCATCCCTGAAAGTGTTCTTATTGTCTAGCAACAGCTCAAGTTTCATGTCCCATATTTGTTTTCCTGTTTTAAGATGCAGACAATTCTTTTGATGGAGAATAAAATTAGCCTCAGGAAATTGTACATAAATAAAAATTTGCAGTAATGGATACATCATTTGTTAAGCAAACTTGGAGAACTGTAAAATATTATTTATAAAGAACCTTAATTGATATCTTAAATTTAATTTACTATATGTATTTATTTGAATATGATGTTTTTAACCTAGTTTATCTTTCTTTTCTTCTTCTTCATTATATCTTTTCCCAAAATTTGTTAAATAAAATATCTGTTTAAATTATAGTATTACATAATTAATTACAATAGGAATGTACCTACTTAGGTTTCAGAATTTTTAATGCATGTCCAATTTTTCTTTCTTTTTTATAATGTTAATATATTTCATTGTTCATCATTCCATAGTTACCTATTGATATTTCATGAGCTCTGTGGGAAAGAAATTTAATGGGGGTTTCAATTTCTGAAGTACAAGTGTCTATTTATATATATATATATATATGCATTGCTTAATTTCTTAGCCTAATGAATGTGGTTTTAGATGTTCTAGGGGATGTAGTACTCTATTCTCATTAGCATTTTTATTTGTCATTATTATTCATCAACTATAGAGCCACTTGTCATATAATGCTTTTCTTCATTTGTGTTTCTGCTGTGATAGGTTGATTGGCTGCAACATGCTGTTTTTAATTCCTCAAAATTCATTTTCTCGATGAATATTCAATGTTACAGAGAAATATATGTTTTTTACTAAATTATGTTGAAATTAGGCAGTTCTCTAGAGAGCCCAGTACATTTATCATAGAAGATATATTTACATGAATAAAATGGGCTATGTAGCCAAAATTCTACAGTTATTTAAATTACTTTAATCCATTTCTCTGTTTTCTTGTTTGTACAAATAAAAACAAGAAATGATACAATTAAAGCACCAGGAGGTTCAAGGTCCCAGAAAACCAGTTGGGACACAATGGCACACATAAATAAAACAAGTATATTACTGACATATCCAAAATTAGTAGTTTGAATAATTCCTTTCACCAGTTAAAAAATACAAAATATGAGGAAACACTTCATATGAGAAGCAGGGACCAGAGGCTATATATCCAGTACTATTACAGTCAGGGTTACATCTAATAATTCACTTGCATGTGATTACTGTGGTAAACTTTCTTTATTCTTCTTGTTATCAGTTCACAGACTGATAATCTGTAACCACATACATTTACAGTAACCACATTTCATTATACAAATGAAAATAAAGACTATAAGGAAAAGTATTATTTTTACAACAAAAAATACATGGTTTTCACTGGTTTGCTTTGTCTTCATATTTTCTAAACCCCAAATATTGTATTTACAATAAATCACTAATCCCATTTTTCAAATCTTGAGGAGATTAGCCATCTGAAAGATTACACTCTGTCATCTCAAATCCATTAAAGAAATAAATGGATTAATTACCTTGAATGATCAGCTTCTCCTTTTTCTTGTAGTCATTATAAATATGGCTGTAATTTTATTGTAGTTAGAGTTTGAGAGCACATATTCATGATATTTCTGGAAATAAGTAAGTGGCTTGATGAGAAATTTGATTATATCAGTAATTAAAACTGTAAGGAATTAAAAAGAGATTTTTTATAGTTTGGATTTTGTATTTCCACAAAGGTCATGTGTTGAAGCCTTGATCCCCACCCAGTTGGTGCCATTGGGAGATGGTGGAAACTTTTAAGACATGGGACCAAATGGAAGAAAGTTGGATCACTGGGGTGTGCCCTTGAAGGTAGTAATTTGACTCTGGCCCCTTCTTTTCTTCTGGCTTTCTTTGGCTTCTGTGCCACCATGAAGTGACAAGAAATTTTCTCCACTATGTGCTCCCACCATGATGAACTAAGTCACCACGGGCCCAATGCAACAGGGCCAAGCCACCATCGCCTGAAAACATGAGCCAAAGTCACTCATTCTTCCCTTTAAGATTTTTATCTGAAGTATTTGCAACAATGACAGGAAACTGACTAATACAGAAGCACTTCATGAAAATAATTTTATTTACAACGATATTATGTAATGTATTTTTAAAATTCAATGTGTCCTGAGTATGTCGATTAAAATGTGTGTTTCATTAAAACATGTTTCATGAAAACATGTTTGTGAAAATAATTTCAGAAACCAATGTATAACTATATGTTTTAACACATTTTCTGAAATTAAACTGATTTAAAAAAAATATAATTAAAAAGTATAAGAAAAATTTAAGGAGGGGGCTGGGATTGTGGTTCAATGGTAGAGCACTTGCCTAGCATGGTCGGGACCCCGGTTCGATTCTCAGCACCACATAAAAATAAAGGCATTGTGTTGTGTCCATCTACACCTTAAAAAAGAGAGAGAGATAAAAAAGACAAAAAAAGACTTAAAAAATTTTAAGAGAATATAAAATTTTTCTATTAATATTCTGAGACATAACTCAGACCATACATATTAAAAATATTTTATTAAAATAAAAATAATCATAATAATAAACATTTATTGAATATTTAATATGTGCTAGAAACTGTCACATTTTTTACTTTATCTCAATAACTGATTTCCTTTTCAAACATTATGAGCACCCCACTATGATTTCAGACAATGAAAGTAAACCTTAAATTGTTATAAAGTGACACACTTCTTTTTTTTTCTCCTTACAACATCATACATGTATTCTGTATAACGATGAGGGTCTCCTTCAATCTTCTGTGCAAATCCCCTTCTCCCTCCTTTCCCCTCCCACCTCTCTTCCCTATTTAGTGGTAATCTTCTTCTCATGCCCTTCCTCCCTATCCCATTTTGAGTCACCCCCCTTATATCAGAGAAGACATTCACATTTGTATTTTAGGGATTGGCTAACTTCACTTAGCATAATCTACTCTAATGCCATCCATTTCCCTGCAAATGCCATGATCTTATTATTTTTTAGTGCTGAGTAATATTCCATTGTGTATAAATGCCATATTTTTTTTTATACATTCATATATTGAAGGGCATCTAGGTTGGTTTCAGTTTAGCTATTGTGAATTGTGCTGCTATAAACATTGATGTGGCTGTGTCCCTGTAGTATGCTCTTTTTAGGTCTTTGGGGTATAGTCCGAGAAAGGGAATAGCTGGGTTAAATGGTGGTTCCATTCTACATTAGATTGGGTAGAGAGATGTGATGGGAGGGGAGGGGAGGGGAAGAGGGGATAGGAAGGGCAGCAGAATAAAATAGACATTATTATTGCTGTATGTATATAGGTGACTGTATGACCAATGTGATTCTGCAACCTGTACAATCATAAAAATGAGAAGTTATACCCCATTTGATTCAAATGTATGAATTGTCAAGATCATTGTACTGTAATTAAAAAAAAAATTGGTAGCTTTGAGCTGGGCGTGGTGGTGCATGCCTATAGTCCCAATGGCTCAGGAGGCTGAGGCAGGAGGATTGCAAGTTCCAGGACAGCCTTAGTAACTTAGCAAGGCCCTAAGCAACTTAGCGAGATCTTGTCTCAAAAAAGAAGAAAAATAAAGTGTTAGGAATGAGGTTCAGTGGTTGAGAGCCTCTGGGTTCGTCACCAGTACAAAAGAAGAAAAACAAATGATGAAGGGCAGCAGAATAAAATAGACATTAATTTTGCTGTATGTATATACGTGTCTGTATAACCAATGTGATTCTGCAACCTGTACACTCAGAAAAATTAGAAATTATACCCCATTTGATTCAAATGTATGATATGTCAAGATCATTGTATTGTCATGTGCAACTAATAAAAAAATAAAATAAATGTTATAAAGTTTCCAAAGGTTCTATAACTAAGGGGCAGAACTATAATTTAAAATCACATAAAATCCCAGAGGCTTTAATTTTTACCATAACTACTACTTATGGCCCATTTTTATGAAATGCTTAGTTGTTCTGGTATCTTTTCTTTTCAATGTTTTCAATATTTTAATGGAAATATTCTGGAAAACTGCAAGAGATAGTCCTTTATTTAACATCCTCACTCGACCTTCAAATATCTTTGTTTTTATTCAAGCCATCAAAAGCCAAGGTATATCTCTCCCTCTATTTATATTCGTATTTATTTCATAAAATTGGGTTCTCTGATATTTGGGACATCTCTAATTACAATTGTTATATCTTCTCAATGAGTTGTTCCCATTATGAATATGTATTGACCTTCTTTGTGTCTTTAACTGATGTTGGTTTAAAGTATATTTTGTCAGACTTTAATGTGACTACACCATTTTGCTTCCAAATTCCATGTGTTTGGGATATTTTTTATACTTTTATCTTAATAATGTCTCTGTTTTTGCTGAGTTTTATTCAGGCATCTTATTTGGGGGTATTGATTTTATTCCAATCAGTTAGTCTATACTGGAGGATTTGACTGGAGGATTAATTGAATTAACAATGAGGATTTTTAGTAAAAGATATGTATTTGTTCTTTGTCATTTTGTTGATTTCCTTCTCCTTGTTTTGAATATGTTATGCTAATTTCTTCCCATATTCATCTTAGATATTTGACGGCTTACTATCTTGATATTGTTTCATTTTTTCTACTTATTATTTGTAGGTCTATTCTTTCAGTGAGATTTATTCTTTTAATGCTCTCATGATTGTGTTTATCTTTCTTTCTCTTCTGGGTATAGGATTCTCTTAAATATCTTGTATAATGCTGGTTTAGCAGACATGAATTCCCTCAGATTGTTTAACTTGGATTATATTTACTTCTAACTTGGGTATAGTTATCTTGACTGGCAGTTATTTTCTTTCAGAACTTAAAATACATCATTCCATGCCCTAGTGACCTTTATAGTTTCTACTGAGAAATGTGCTGTTCTTCCAATGGGTTTGTCTTTAATTTTGATTTGGTGCTTCTCTCTTACACCTTGTGTGTGTGTAAGTGTATGTGTGTGTCAATTTAACTATAATAGTTATGGAGAAGTTCTTTTCTGATCCTCCATATTTGAGATTCTAAATGCCTCCTGTGGCAGTATGTCCACGTCTTTCCTAAGCTTTGGGAAATTTCTGCTATTATTTTATTTAATAGGTAATCTGTGTCCTCAGCATGAAGGTCTTCTCCCTTCAGGTGATTATGTAGATGTTTCAGCTCTTAATGGTGTCCTGTAGAAATATATGTTTTCTTCATTCTTTTATTCTTTATTTTTTATTTAATACTTCTCATATTCTTTCTTTTCCTTGATTTATACTGTTGTTGAGGCTTTCAATTGACTTTTAATTCTGACTTAATTGAGCTTCTAATTTCTAAGATTTCCATTTGCTTCTTTTTCAAATTCTCTTTTTTTACTAAAAATGCTTAATTTTCTTCCTTAATCCATTCAACTGTTTATTTGTATTTTCTTGGATTTCAAAGAGCTTTTTCAAAAATAATTTTTTGAACTTTTGTCTGACATTTCATATATTTTGATATCTTTGAAATTTGTCACTATGAAGTTATAAATTATTAGGTATAATATTGTCTTGCTTATTCATATCTTTCGTGTTGTTCTGTTGAGATCTAGGCATCTATTTAGGATATACATTTCTTCCACAATTAAATGAGGGGGCCTTCTTATCAATTAGTCTTCTTTAATACCTGAAGTACCACTTTTTTCTGTAGGATTAAATTTTCCTGGTTTTTCTTTTGACTATAGTCTCCCTAATTCTTCTTTGTGATTAGTGGGTTTTGACATAATGCATACTATGACAGACACTGTGGGATCTGTTTTTCTGTAAGTCTCAAAACAGTGGAGTCCCTCTAGTAATTCAACCAGGTGTAGTGTAGACAGCAGATTAAATGGGCTGCAGCCTTCGTGATTACTTCTACAATGAGAGTGGAAACCCTATCAGGTGATGTGGGGTTACTCAGGTATTGTTGATCTTGGTTCTCTTATTTGAAAGCAATTCTGGTACTGACTGCTACAACCATGGTTATATTCTCTGTTTAAACACTGGTTGAGATCATGGTGTTTCCTGGGGTATAAAAAGGTTCAAGGTCAGATCTCCCTTTCTGTGGCATTCACTTCCAGTAAATGTGCCATAGGATATGGCAACCAATGTTTAGAACCTTCATAGGTAGGATATCCATAAATTTATGTTATTTCTCATTGCTTTTTCTGTTGGGGTGAGTGTCTAGGGGCAGGCCATCAGATTCTTCCCCTACCCATACCACTCGGGAATGAGTCTTCAGCTGGGAGGTTTTTCTCTCCTTTTTTTCTTTGAAGTATCCACCAAGGTTTCCGTGGGACTAGATAGTAGCAAGGCAAAATTTCTCCCAGATGAGCTGGGAGTATAGTTCAGTGGCAGAGCACTTGTGCAACATATGCAAAGTCCTGGGTTTGACTCCCAGCACTGTGAAGAAAAATAAATTATTAAGAAGACTAAAATAGGGCTGGGGATGTGGCTGGAGTGGTAGCGCATTTGCCTGGCATGCTTGCTGCCGGGGTTTGATCCTCAGCACCACATTACAAACAAATGTTGTGTCCTCCGAAAAACTAAAAATTAAATATTAAAATTCTCAGTCTCTCTCTCTCTCTCTCTCTCTCTCTCTCTCTTAAAAAAAAGAAGACTAAAATAACAACAAAATCAATATCAAAAACTACACAAAATATAGGGAGGGAAGTGACATAGAACAAAATAAAAATTTACAAATACCATAGAAATAATCTTTTTTAATAAAAGGAAAAAAGAGAAAACAATTAAATGTTAAATAGAAGAAAAGAGAAAAATAGAAGAAAAGCAGATAGAAAGTAAAACAGGGATAAAAAGAAAGAGTAAATTTTAGAAAGAGGAGAGAGTAAAGGAAGACAGAAGGAAATAAACAAAAAAGCACCAACTAAAAATGTATTAGGGGGAAATGAAAATTCTAGCCCATTAAGGCTCTTGAAAGAAGGGATGAAAGTGCATGCTTACAACCTATTCTGATCAAAGCTCCTCTGTGGGTCTTCTTAGACTGGGCATCTAATGATCAGAGCAAAGGATGGGTTTTATTCATCCTTGTCTCCTTTTCTTTGTGGTGCTTCCCCCAGTGACTAGTAGAAGTTATTTATAGCTGTAGTTGGAATTCCTCTCTGATGCTTTTCTCACTATAATAAACTAGAGTGTAAAGTGGAGCTCCCCAGGTAAAGATTTTCTCTGGAGCTTTTTAGACTGTGCTCTGCAATGGTGGAGAAACTGACCATGCACCTGGAAAGCAAGAATGAAGGAAAAGCCTGCAGATTCTCTGGAGATTTTGATCTGTATGCTTTAAGGGTGCTGCTTACAACATCCTGGGGCTCATCAGAGTGATAGTGTGAAATGTGCAACTCCACAAAATTTTTCTCCAAAGCTTTTTGGGCTGTGCACTCTGAGGAACGATGGGGTTAAGGCTGGTTCTGTGGCATACCCCCAAATGTCCCCAAGGACAGTTAGAAGCAACAAAGTCACAAAATAATTGTGCTGATGTGGGGGTATTTGTGGAGGGGTCTGCATGATCCGCTTCCTACAATTTGGGTACTTCCAGAGTTGCCTCCCACAACAAATCAAAAGTAACTATTTCCTCCCCTTGATTTTCAGAGACAGATTCTCCAACCCAAGATTTAAAGGGAAGCACCTTCAGTTCCCCTCTGCATCACAGACTGGTTTCTTATCTCATATAATTCTGGGGAGTCACGGTCTTTTCCCAAGGCGCCAGACTGACTCTCTGGTGGAAGTCTGCTGAGTAAGTACAGTGTTATATCCTTGTGGGTTCCCAGCCTGGGAAAATGCAGAGGCCCCATTAACTTCCACAGCTACAAGCTCATGGGAAGTGCAGAGAACTTTAGAGCTAGTTCCCTATGCAAATTCCAGGCCCCTTATTCATTTAGTTTTCTTGTCTGTAGGGTAACATCCTGTCCTCTAGATTTCACTGGGACTCCCCCTATTTCACTGTCATTGCACTAAGTGGGTGTACTACCCTTGCTGTTCTGCTCTGCAGAAGGTCGGGGAGGGTTGTTTCTCCCACTGTTCCATCTTCTAATACTTCTCTATCCACTACTGCATTGCCACCCCAAGTCAGCCTTCTCAATAAGCAGCCACATTCTTGCTTTAATTCTGTTTCCCACAGAACTGGACAAGTTCTGGGTGCCTCTAATCCTACTTCATGGAACTGCCTTTAGTTTTAAAGATTTTCATAAATTTGATTATATACGGGTTATTAAATATAAATAGGTATTCCTTCAGGAGGTTGGTAGATGGTTGTACCAAACCTGTTAAAGATAAAGCCTTGATACTGGGTGAAAATAAATATCTGAAGTTATTCCTTACCCTAAGAGATCAGCCAACAAAAATTTGGCAATGGGTATATCATGGCAATCATCGAATCCTACTAATTTTCTGTTTAATAAACTTTTAAATGATAAAACATCGATTGTAGTTATAATTAACGAACAAATTTTTGTTGTTGTTAAAACACTGCATTAGAAACTTAAAGTGATTACAAGAGTTTGGAAAGTAAGGGAATGGGGGGACTCTGATCAATTTCTTGCTGCACAAATAAATTGGTATTCAGAGAAACTGGGGAGTGTTCAGAAAGATCATGGAAATATTTTATGGGCCAAAAAACAAAATACACTGAGAAATGTTGAAGGATGTACAATTGTTTTAACTAAAGTGGAAATTTAGAAAATGACTTTGATAGTGGTCATCAATGATTTCAAGATTTCAGAGTTTGTATATCTACAGAAAGAAAGTTATTTATATTTTTGCCTTGGGTGTTTAAGAAGGAAGTTTCCTTAAAAGAAGTTTGAAAATTGAAAACTCTTAGTTAAAATGAGAAGTTATAGCAATGCATTCTCTAGAGAATTATAATAAAAGAGAATAGGACGCTTTCTCATTTTTCTGGGGGCAGTTTATAGAGAGCCGGGGACAAAATTCATGACCTTTCTTGTGCCCTTTCTAGCCTGGAGGTTCTAAGATGTTCAGTTTATTTAACCATGTGGACATTGGAAAGTTGATTTCATTTCTGTATCATCAACTGGGGAAATAACTGTATTACCTGATAGATTTTTCCCCCTCAAATTTGTTGTTTCCCAGGTGGTTCTCCAGTTTTATCCAATATTACTCTCTGAACCAATGCAACAATCCATTAGATATTAGTTAAAATGGTTAAACTATAGGTTGACTTAATAAGCATGAGAACTATTTATTTTTATGGAGAAAAATCAGACATCAAAATTTAGAATTAAAATTTTTTCAATTTTCTCATTATCAATGTATATATTAACAGCGATATTAAGATAGTAATGCTGTTTTCAGGGTTTCATTTTATACTTGCAACTTTTCACATACATTTTTTCATACTACACCACTTCTAAATATCATCTTAGTTGTTAGATGATAGTTGGGTTTTGCTTATAGCATAATAACTCAATCCCATTATATGATTTTCCGATTTTTTAACCTGAATATATTAATAGTGCATTTTTATACATAAATTTTCTTTTATACTTTGTAGAAAATTATTTTCATTTCTATTTTATATAATAGTATAATAAAAAAATGTTGAGTCATAAACCCTTAAAAATTCAGATTTTAATCAGATGCTGTGGTACACACCTGTAATCTCTGCTGCTCAGGAGGTTGTGTCAGGAGTACTGCAAGTCAAGGCCACCGTGGCAACTTGGTGGCATCCTCTCCCAATATAAAAAAGAAAAGGGCTTGGGATGTAGTTCAGTGGTCCAGAACCTGTGGATTCAGTCCCCAATGCCAAAAAAATGAAAACAAAGATAAAGAAACTTTTCAAATTCTCTGTTGTGGACATTTGAGGTAATTTCATAACAGTGTAATTACTTTTCCAGTGTCCATAACTTTCTTCAAATGTATAGAATATTCTCAAAAAACAAACAAACAAAGGTTTGCTGATTTTTAAAAGAAAATTAGTGTATTGATTCATATTTCAGAGTATTAATGAAAAAGAATCTGTTGGACATTGATTACTTTTCAAAGAAAAACAGAATCACTAGCAAACCACACTTTTAAAATTAATTATAGAAGAATTATTCATATATTAATGTGAAATTTTATGTAGAAATTGCCAAGTGAGCTTCTAGGAATTATACTTCTATAAAACTGTTTTCTTAGGACTATATTGAGACATAGGAAGTAATGTAATTACAAGGAATAATAGAATAAATTTATCATTCTCATATTGAAAGACAAGCATTTCACTGCAGAGAAAGGGAAAACCTAAACATAATTCAACAAAACAAAAAAGATTCTTCTTTTCCAATGTAAAGGAATAAAGCATCCATCCAGTGCTGGTAGTCTTCTTTATGTGTCTTCTTATTCATTTAACTTGCTTTTCAGACATATGTAAAATCTCTTCATATTCACATGCTAGGTTTTTTTAAGCCTCTAGTTTTTACCTGTTTTCCTTATTCCAAGCTTACTTTATCCTCAAAGAAATTTTGCAGCATAGAACTTGTTTTCCTCGAACATGGAATTCCATCAACTTGAGAGACTGAGGCAGGAGGACCACAAGGTCAAGGCCAACCTCAGCAGTTTAGCAAGACTCTGTCTCAAAGTAAAAAATAAAAAGGGCTGGGATGTGGCTCAGTGGGTAAGCACTGTTGTGTTGAGTCCCTGGTACCAAACAAACAAACCAAAAAAAAAAAAAAAAAAAAAAAAAAAAAAACTGAACCTTTTTCCCAACCTTCTATATAAAAATTTTGAATTATGTTAATGTTCAATTCAAGGGACAGAAAACCAATTTGAAATAGATTTAAAAAAAACTGTATATATTGAGTTAAATGCCAAATTAAAAGAAGATGAAAGTGGAAATGCCTTTAGGAATACCTAAACATTAGGCTTTGTATGTGGTGCTGAGGATCGAACCCGGGCCTCACACATGCCAGGCGAGCGCGCTACCGTTTGAGCCACATCTCCAGCAAACATTAGGCTTTGACATCATCAAAATCATCATTGTTTTTCTTGCTCAAGCTTTGGTACTTCATTATGAAAGAAAGATGAGGCTGAAAAGGCAGTACATCCTAACTGATTCTCACATTTTCATAGCTTTGCAAAAAGCAAAGCAAAATGTTTTGATTTCAATTCTTATTTGGAAAAATCTGTCCAGTTAATTATTTTTCATGAGAAAAATGTTCTTTTTCTGAATTCCCTTACTTTTATTAAGGATATAATCATTTATATTACATTTTGCTTTATATATTTTATATTTTAATAATAAAATTATTTTTATGTATGTCTTTTACTTCTGAGCTTTTGTCTTTTAGTTCATGTATCTTCAATACATCAACTAAACAGTTATTTTCAAGTGATTGCAAAAGTTTAAAACATGACTTCTATAAATGACATCAATTTTTTAACAATGGGAGTTTTTATATTTTCATAACTATAGCTGAAAAAATCACACAACAAAAATCATATGCTTTCTAAATTTTCATGTTTTTAATCTATCTACTCCTTCTCTTCACTTATTCACATTAATTTATACAAATGTGAATTAATTGTAATTGTGAAAATGCTTTATTTTTCTTACCACATACTACCAATTCTTGAGTCAATTTTATATGTTATCACCAGATCAAACTCTGAAAAAAGATAATTTAATCAGATTATTGCTTTGGTTAAGTTTCTTACCAAATTTGGCAGAAGCCTTTTCACCTTCTCTCATAATATGTTCAATCTACTTTCTTACCTTCATTTCTCCAGCAGGCATACATTCCAGACCCTTCATTGAATCCCTTGTACTGTAACAGTAGGAAGCTAACAAAATTGTTTCAGTAAAACTACCAGTAAATTACAACTATACTCACTGATCCATGATTTTGTGTAGACTTCTCCCACACTTTTTTTGGGTTTGGATGTGAAATTTACTTTGGTCAATGAACATTAAAAAAAAATAGAAGAAGAAGCCATATATAACATATTAAGTCTTGCCCTCTATAGCTGCTGAAAACTATTCTGCTACCTTCTGAAAAATCCCACGTTAGCCTTTTTAAGGATAAGAAAATAAATGATTAGAGACCTTACTATCCCAAATATTCCAAGCATTCCAGCCCTAAAACATGTGTCCCAAATTCATGAAGAGCCAAGGAATTTCAAAAGCCTTAAAGTGGGAGCTTAATCCACTTGAACTTCATGGATGAAACTTAGTGAGAATAGGTCAAAAAGCAGGAGATAAGGTCAGAAAGGTAGCAGCACCTTGGAAGCCATGACATGTACCTGGGTGGTGCTCTACAGGATAAGGGTAGCAAGTAAATGGCATTATCTGACATAGTTTAAAATAATTATTTTCACTGCTAATCAGGGAAGAGCCTGTGGCAGAATAAAAAGAAAAAAAAAGTAAAAAGTTGAATTTAAAAGAAATTCCATCAATTCAGGTGAGAGATAACAATGGTTTGGAGAATGAGGAAATGGTAAGGAGGTAAAAAAAATTTGAGATATTTTGAAATTCAGGAAGACAGTGTTTGCTTCTGATTGAATTTGAGCTGTAAGAGAAGAGAGGTTATCTTATTTGTTAATGTGAGGTAAATTGGGATAACCGCAGATTAGTGGTTTGAGGAGAAGGTAAGTAAATCAGTACTTAGTTCTGAATATGTGATGGGGACATGTCTATTAAACAAAAAGGGGAGTAGGAAGATGTAAAGCCAGACTGAAGTAAGAGAACTATTTGAGATCTTACTTAGGAACCGCCGAATGCATGAAGGATTTACGACCAAGAACAAGGAAAGCTTTTCTAGGGATATTGTGTAGAAAGAGAAGAGGAAAGCTTTGCAGTCCAGCACTGGGACATTGCAAATCTGAGAAAATGTAAAGAAGAGAAGGAACCAGTTTTAGAGAGGAGGATACAACTGTGTTTCATATTGTATTACACTCCCCATGGTTTAAATGCAAAATCATCATTCAATTCTCTATTTTAAAGATGGGAATAATCGAGACTTGGGAAAGTTAGTTTTTCTGATATCATAAATGAGCTAACAAAGATGAATTCCCTGATTTATTAAATTCCCAAGCCTCAGGTTTTAAACACAGATCCAATTATATGTAAAGAACTGAAACACATAGCTGTAGTTTTCTGTTCTTCTCTCTTGGAAATATTCACTGCAAATTACTAAAGTTTACTTGTCATACACAATGTTATTTGAGATTGAAAATCCCTGGTTGCTCCCTATTTTACTAACCACAAAACGGCTCACAGCTGGGATATGATCCATTATTACTTATTCTCTACTATAGAAGATAGTTTATCCAGAGCATAAAAAGGAGTGAATAAGGCTGTTGGAAGAGAATGGTCGCGATACAACAATTCAGATTGCTTATTACTGCATCATTTCTCCCCTGTTGGTTATATCCCTTCAATTGTGGAGCATTATCTCACACTTTAAGCATCCTTTATATTTGGAGGGACTGCAGAACATTTCATTAAAATTATCATAAAGCTGGCAACCAATGTCAACTGTAAATAATTTTACTCTGAAAGCCAAAGAGATATAAACATTTTCTAGTGTAATATAAATAGTTGATTGGGATGCATAGAGGAGTCTTATTGTTATAAACTCAGTTTACTCTGTTTTCTTCTTATTTTATATGGGATGAAGGTGGAGAGAGAGAATGCACAGAGTTATTACTGTAATGGGAAGCTTTCAGTGCCCTTAGCTTACGTTAAATTAAACTTCATATGATTGAAAGAATGCTTATACTGACAAAACATCCAAGAGATTTACAATTATCAATATATGAGAACAATTTAGAATCAAAGACCAAACTAAGTCACCATCGATCCACTCGTAAATTAGTGTCTGGAGCCTCTACCAGTTAGACAGTAGACTTGAGAATGACCAGTTGGCCTCCCTACCTACAGCACTGGATTTTCTACATTTTGAACTATCTTTAGGGTTATTGTAATTTAGATTATCTTACTTCCATTCCCCCTTGCAAAGTTCTAAGATGCTTCTGTCTATAGTTACATGCAATCACTGGATGACTTCAGAGTCAAACTGGTTGCTTTAAATAAGCATGTATTTCCATGTTCTTTGTTTGTTTGCAGATACTTATCTAGTGAATACTGAATAGACCAAATAAGTTTTTATTTTTTCTGAGGCTTATTAGAAATTTCTGAAGCCTAGTGCTTAGTTTCCAAAGTAGTAGTTATACTCTGGAACTTGGCAGTGAATAGGGAGAGAATATTCTTTGAAATATTGAAGGCAATGTTAGATCTTCTATTTTGTCTATGTTTTTTTTGTTTTATACACCCATACACATAATCCTCCCTTGACTAAGTCTCCCGAGTAGATCCAAGGGAAGTAAAAATAATTCTTCTCTAGGAAGGAGTTGAAACCAGCACATATATGGTTTTGTTGTCTCTGGGGACATTGCTAAATATTGATATTAATGCCTGCTCAATTGCATGTATTGGAAGTTTGCATTTAATAGACTTAAATCACATAACTCTTTCCTAATGAAAAAAAATGGCAACACATAAAAACAAAAATTGCCAAACTGTAGATGACATCAATCATGTAAACTTTAGTGAACTGATAATTAATTCCATCTCAAAGCTTCCCTAGTTCAAGGAAAAACATTGATGTAATGTTTCATAAGAAATAAGCTTTATAATAGTATATTGCAAATAGCTTTTTGTATTGAGTATGAATAATAGTAAACTTCACTTATCTATATATTGCCTTTTTAAATTTGTATCATGTATTTCATCTTTATGGATATCATGCATATCATTCATTTCACTGTTTTTACTTCATTAATGTTATTTAATATAAAATAGGCAAATTACTGTACTCAATATATTATAAATAAACAATGATACATTTACAGGGAATATATTCAACTTTTTAAAAATAGGAGCAAAAATTTCTTTAAAAATGTTGAATATGCCTATGGAAGAAAAAAAGCCATACTCCTAGATAAGGTACAGACAGCTTCTCACCATTTGACCTTAAGCTATGTTGAAGGATATTCTCAGAACACTATTTCCTTCTTGTATCAATATGCAAAATACTATGCTAGAACTGTCACACTTGAGGGGAGAGATGAGCAGTCGAGAGTTCACTGAAGAGGGAGAGTCCCATGGTTTGGCCTCACACATTCTAAATCATTATGTCTGGGGTGTGTTTCAAAAATCTGCTCTCATAACAAGTGCCTTTTAAAAATCACTCCTCTAACCATATTCATTATTGGTTATTCCTCTTCTTTTGAACACTTATGTGTTCCATTTCCATGGTTAAGAGTGTTCTTTACCCATTTAGACAATTAACTCAGTGATTTTTAATGCCCATTATCAACATCTTTCTTCTATGTAACTACCTTTAAGCCATTAAGACTTAAACCTGAAAACTGAGTGTTTTAGTCAGCTTTTCTGCTGTTGTGACTAAAAGACCTGATAAAAACAATTAGAGGAAGAAAAGTTTATTTGAGGGCTCACGGTTTCAGAGATTTCAGTCCATAGACAACCAGCTCCTTTCCTCAAGGCTCAAGGTGAGGCAGATCATCATGGTGGAACAGTGTGGTTGGAGGGAAACAGATGAAGATATGATGATCAAGCAGCATAAAGAGAGAATTCACTTGCCAGAAACAAAATATATACCCTAAGCCACACCCCCAATGTGTACCTTCTCCAGCCACTCTCTACTTGCTTTCAGTTACCACTCAGTTAGTCCTCATCAGGGGACTGATGCACTTGGGTAAAGACTCTCATAACCCAATCATTTCACTCCTCAATATTCTTGCATTGTGTCACACATAATCTTTGGGGGGAACACCTAATATCTAAACCATAACACTGAGGCTGTAATAATTTTGTTCCTATCTATGTTCCACTAGCATTCTGAATGCATCTCTATTTTATTTCATATCCACTACCTACAAAAATGCATAGGTCACAGATCATAAGTATTACCAGATTGTTATTAATGAAGAAACTCGGGCTCCACTCCACATTTACTGCAACAGATAATACTTTAAACAAGAACCCAAGTCAATTTGAAGTTTTAGAACCACTTTCACATTTCACCAATTCTTTTTCTTTCCTTTCCTTTCACTTATCCTCATCCCTTTTTCTTCCTTCTTTTTTTCCTTTCCTTTTTCTCTATTCTGTGACTCTCCCTCTCCCTCTCTTTTATAATAAAAAAAAATTCTGAACTAGGATTGCATCTTAAAGAACATTTTTTCTTTAGCATTTAACAGAAAATCAAATATGCACTTATTAAGAATTTGTTAAAATGGCAATATGTTTGTGAAATAATTTGTTATTCTACAAAAGAAAAAAAAAAAGAAATGTAGAGATACCAAGAAAAGAGAGAATAAGGATTAATACAAAAAGGGAATAAATGAGTATGTGAAAAATGTGAGATACAGAGAAATTCAAAATAGTTCACTTTAAGCTGAAATGTTTTTTTATTTATTTCTGTAGCATAGCAACCTCATAAAAGCAATATTTAATACTGCTTGGTTAACTTGAAAATTGGTATTCTGTCTTACCTTGAGTTTTAATGTCAAAAAGGTGTTCCACTATATTATGAATGGCACAATCTATTGCCATAGAAACATTAACATGCCACTGGTATATCTTTAAAATAGTGATTTTAAAACACATTTGTAAAAGTTGCTTAAAAATCAAATGAGAAGTCTATATCTTTGATAATTCTTATTTATGAGTCATGGAGTATAGCTGCATTATTACCCTGATATCTGGAAGATACTGATGCATATCATTAGGGGGTAGTCAGGGAGGCTGAATATGCAATTAGGTTGAATTTTGTTTCTCCCTCAAAATGAAGTAAGTTAAACTCTTTACTGGTTAATTTATGTGCCAATTTGACTGGGCTAAGGAATACACAGTCTAGTGAGCATTACCCAATTCACTGAAGGCCCAGTAAAACAAAACATGGAATGTCAGGAGCGGTGGCTGAATTAGGGTCCTTGAGCTGTCCTGCTACAGAGGCAATGCCTCTCCTGGGAACTTTCAGTGAGAATGTGCTAATTAAAGATTGCTCAGTTGCTATGGTGACACCCTGTTCAAAAGGAGGTTCTATGCCAGTCGTGGAGTTATAAGTTCTTGACTTTGAGGTTCAGATACAGCTGCTCTGGGGTAGAAATTTATGGGTGGAAGCTGCCAATCATAATTGGGCTGCTCATTCTTATGACCTTGTTTCTGCTTGTTTTGAAGAAACTTTCTCACAATAACCCTTTTTATGATTATACCTGTATAATAAACATGCTGAGCTTGTTTTGGATCACTATCTCCCTTCTAGGGATTTTAGTGAACCACCAAGCCTCAGATTTATCTCTATTTGTGTGTCTGGTTGTTTTCTCTTCATCTTCTTATCACCCCTCATCCAGTACCTGAATTAACAGCTGTTCACATCCTGGAAATAAAACAAGACCTAATTTCTCTCTCTTCTTGAGTTAGGATATTTTCTCCAGCCTTGGAACATGAGAGCTTTTCTTCCTCAAACCTTCAAACTCTACGACTTACACCAGCATTCCCAAGTACATAGGACTAGGACTGAGTTACACACAACACAGATTTCTCTGATTCTCCACAGTAGACAACATATGGGACTTGTAGTCTCCACAACCATATAAGCCAGTTCTTGTAATAATCTTTTATCTATTCATCCAATTGTTCATGTCTCTCTGATGAACCCTAATACAAAGGCCTAATCCTCCAGTCCTAGAAATGTGACTTTGTTTGAAAATACAATTGTCCTAGATGTAATTAGGTAAGATGATATCATACTGGAGTAGGGTAGGCCCTTAATCCAATATAAAGAGAGGGATACCTACCAGGAGAATGCCATGTAAAAAAGGAAGGCAGAGAACACAACTACCAATTAGCTATGCATTTACCATTTAAGAAATGCCAAGGACTGTAGCTGTCTGCAGAAGCCAGAGAGAGGCATGAAGTGTATTCTCTCAACACTGTGAGATAACTAATTTTATGGAATCTTAATTTTGGACTTCTAGCCTTCAAAAATGTAAGAGAGTAAGTTTTTGTCTTGTTTATTCACTCAATTTGTAGTCTGTTTTTATAGTAGTCTTAAGAAACTAACACATTCCTGATGCCTTAAAACAAGTTGAGTAGCTCTTGATTTTGTTGTCAGAGGTAGCAATTCTCACACTTGAGTGTACACCAACTATGACCACAATTGCTTAATGTTTTTTTTTTTTTTTTTTACATATTGAACACACACACACACACACACACACACTGACTGAACTGGGCCTCTGCTCCCTTCTGGCATAGCTAACCTGCAGATTACTCTTTAAGGATTGAGTTTGTTAGATGCAAACCTAAGAAGTATTTTCCATTGAATGTTAGTGAGTGCGGCCAATCACAATATACCATTAAATAGTTTTGAATGTCATAGAGGTCAATGAAATGAGACTTCATGACTATATCTTCCTAAATTCAAAGTTTATGCACTTTATTCGCTGTGGCAGAGCTTTATTTTGAAAGCCATTTGCAGCAGAAGTGGGGGTTAATTCCTTGGGTTGGTAAACAAAATTCATTTACAGAACTTTTCTTATGGAGTTTGTTGAAGCTGTAGAAATTTACTTCAGTAGAGGATGATCAGAATAGCTGAAGTAAACAATCTTTTGTGAAAGCCCTGAGTTTGGAGGCACATGTGTTAGGATCCTGGGTTAGAGTCCTTTGCCTTTCTTATGCATAGGGTCTGCATCACTGTGGCAAGCAAAAGGGTGTAGTAACTTGTGAGAATATCTGGAGGTAGCATTCTTGGCATGACACTGGCAATGCCATCAGGAGAACAAACAAAACTGGCTATAGATATTTTTAAATCAGCTTTCAAGAAATAAATACCAGCTCCATTTCTCATCAGTAATATCTAAACTCAAATGTTACTTCTACAGAGAAGTCAAACTGTGTTACTTTCTGAAATGAGCATGCAGCTCTACTATACCAATGAATCTTGTTTTATTTTCCTCATAACTCCTATGTGTCTTTCTGAATTTTTAATTTGTATTCATTTTTCTGTCTTATACAATATTAGCCTTCCATATTAGATAGAAGTTCTTTCAAATTATATGTATAAATATGGAACATTTAAAGCATATATATGTACACAAATACTTATGAATATACTTATGAATATATACTTATGAATATAAAGTATTTAAAAAATAAAAACTGAAAGCAAAGAAAGGGTGTAGTAACTTGTGAGAATATCTGGAGGTAGCATTCTTGGCATGACACTGGCAATGCCATCAGGAGAACAAACAAAACTGGCTATAGATATTTTTAAACCAGCTTTCAAGAAATAAATACCAGCAAAGAAATTAATACCAAAAGTAACTGATGCTACTAAGTGGAAATAACTTTTTTTCATATTTTAAGAATTATCTAGAATAAGCACAAATTTAAGATCAGAAAAAATAGATACTTCAAAACTTTTAGTATTCCTCTCACTATACATTGAGAATGTGCAGTGAAATCCTTTGTTTTTATGGACTCATGCTTGGGAATTCAAACAAGTAGATATTCATTAAACACATGGTATAGTTAATTACTCTGACAGAGGAAGTAGAAAATGTTATAGGGAGCACATAATATTTAACTAAAAGATACAGAATAAAGCAGAAATAAAAAAATTCCAAGAGCTAATGACGTTTAAGCTGAGATATAAAACAAGTAACAACTATACAAATGAAGAACATAAGTATGTTATTTTGTGTCATGTGTGTACATTATGTGTATGTACATTTGCATGTGTTTATTTTATGGTTACGTCAGAGGTAGAGATGGTGAAAAACTAGAGATAATAGCAGGAAGTATTCACTCTTGATTGTTACTAAAGAAATGCTGATTCAAATATAAAATAAAATACATTTTTTTCATTTATTTCATTATCAAAGATTACAATGTTTGACAATATCAAGTTTTATAGCAGACATGGGTTAAGATTATCTCATATATAGCAGGCATGGATGAAATTAGTACACCATTTTAAAAGTTATTATTATTTTATAAATTAATGTTCTCAAATACCTAGCAACTTACATTTTAGGTATGCAGTTCCATCTTGCTAAATGTGTGATATATGCACTGTAAAACAATTACAGATATTTTTATTGAAACAGCCCATGCAGAAAAGTTATAACAGTAAGTCATAGGAAGGGGATTATTATTAATTTAATTTTATGTAACTAAGGTCCTGTGAAAGAGGAAAATATTATGAAGGGACTTTTAATCATAGTGATAGACTGTATGATAATCTTGACTTAGAAGTAAAGGAAATAGAAATAATAGAAATTAGATCCAGTTATTCAGTAAAATTTCTAGGATTTGGTGACAGATTGTGGAGGGTGAGAAAGAAGAAAACAGGGTGATTCAAGTGGCTGACTCAGTTGAAGGTGGTGCCAATTATTGACATTATAAACACAGTAAATGAAGTCAATTTAGGAGGCAGAAAGAGAAGAGA